GGAGAGGAGAGGAGAGGAGAGGAGAGGAGAGGAGAGGAGAGGAGAGGAGAGGAGAGGAGCAGTATTCCAGAAGGATCCACAAATCACATCTCAAGATCACTCAGGAGAATCCCCCTGCATGGAAATCACCAAGCATCTGAAATCAGCAAGCATCTGAAAGCTTCAGTTTTCATATAGGCTCTTAACTTACTATCACTTTCCCAGAAATTGAACACAGCCTTCAATTTCAGACCTCAGTATTAATAAACCTGGGTTTTTTTTTGTATTTCGTTTTTTTTTTTTTTACAGCTATGGCAAGATTTGGCTTTTCTGACTGTAAAGCTCCCCTTCTAAGAGAAAAAGGAGATATAAAGCCCAAAAAAAATACCGGAGACCATGTTTAAGGCTGAATTGAAATAAATTTCCTACCAAACTCAGCAAAGTATCTTGTATTGGTGACAAGTTTAGCAGTTTAAAAAGATATACTTGAAAAAGAGGGTCCTCTCTGAATGCCTTAATATTTCCAGCATATCCCATAATATGCCTAATGGTTTACCACATAATTGCATCATTAGTAAAACGGTGTTCTTGTTCAGTTACAACTTTCTATTGGCTTACAGAAAGGATTTCAAATTTGCATTTAAATGAAATTGAGCAAAGAGTGATAAAGGCTTCAATTAAAAGGCCACCTGTTTTTGTTAATTCATTTTTAATAGGAACAGTAAATATTTTCAGTTGATGCACTTTCTGCTTCAAGATTAGTGCATTCTTCTCTTCTTTATCTCCAGTGTCAGACACCCCTCATTAGAGGAGTCTGTCATTTTCTCTGACTAGAGGAACCTGTCTCAAGCTTTATGAATCTGTTGGTACAAGACAAATAATAAAGTAAACCAAAGAGCTATTTAGAAAATGCAAACAAAAACACCCCAACATATGATCAAAGTAAATTCTGTAAATAAATTATTTCAAAAAATCAATTAGTTTGAAGGCTGGGTGGAAGCTGGTTCCTCAAACAAAACATTCAAATTCTTACTTCATTTACACTCTTCTTGGAGGTTACTGATCTCAATTGGGCACACTGGTATGAAACAAAAGTAATCTTCCATGTCATAATTATGTAATGCAATTAAAACTTAAGGATTACAAATGCGTAAAACACAAATCATGACAAGAAGCTTTTGTGGAGTATAAATCCAACTGGTGTTCATGGACTATGAGCTTCAACTGGCATCTGGAAGCAATAAATCTTTCTATAAAATGTCTTTCTTTGAGGCTAAATTTTTCACATTTTGCTCTTGTCTTATAGGTTTACAGGTCTAGTTTAGTTTAGTTGCCATTAGAAACATAGCAGCTCATCTTGCTTTTCTAATATTTTTGAAATAATTTGCTGTCATTATTGTTTCTGTTTTCCATTTACTGTAACCATAACTACTAATTTGCTAACAACCGCTACACATCTGTTATAACCAAAGCTTAAAAATCCAAAATATCCACAAGAACAACTTGCAGTGGACACGCTTCTCTTCTGGGATGCAGTATAAGCATTTAAATAAAGTACTGAAGCATTTAATTAGTTTGTGCTTGTTTCCTGTTAGCAGGACATCATAGTAGTAAATAAATGGATTAAGTTTCTTGTAACACAAGCTGGGAGAGATCTTCACAGTTGCTTTTCACTCTCAGATTCCTATTTAAGGGAAACACAGGGGTCCAATCCCACTTTTAAAAACTTTATCTTTGATTTAAATCATGACTGTTTTTAATGCTATGTGATTTTTCACAATGAACTTAACAAGGGATTATGTTTTCCATTTCTGGTTGAATGAAGAAAGAAATTAACAGAAATGTAAATAGAAGACCTTCACATGAAGCTGCAGGTTAGGGGATTTACCCCCTATTTGTTAAAATTTAAACACTTACAAAAGGAAATAAATACTGAACAGCTCTCTCTCCTTGCTTCTTCCCCTCTCATTTCCCTTCTCCTGTGTGTATTTCTGATTGACATACTCATATAATTTGTTTGTTTTTATATTTGCTTGATGAAGGAATATATCAGGAGTTTTAAATAATTGATTTTTACTTGACTCAGGTTCTACTTCTTAATTGGTAGTTGCTGCAGTTTTCTTTTAATGCCTGCAAAGCTGAACTAAAAATATCTCTTGAGCATGACTACATGTTGAAAATGGTTTGGCCCTAATGTTCTGCCATTAAATAAATATTTTAATACTTTAAGTCAAGTATATCAGGCTTGTGTGGTAAGGCTTTAATAGCTGGAGGTGCTACAGGGGATGTTCTTGGGAGAAGGTCTTAGAACCCTTCTCCATGTCCCTCAGAGAAAATGCTTCAGCCAGAAAAAAACAACCTGTACAACTTCAGAAAAAAAATGGGGAGTGAGACTATGTGAGAGAAACCAGGGTCAGTGCAGAAGGAGGGGAAGGAATTGCTCCAGGTGCTTCAGAGCTGAGATTGCCCTGCAGCCCTTGGTGCAGCCCCTGGTGAGGCAGCTGTGCCCCTGCAGCCCATCCAAGTCCAGAGTGGAGCAGCTCCAGAGCAGCTGAGTGCTGGAAAATGTGACCCTGTAGGGTGTCCATGCTGGAGCAAGCTCCTGGTGGGACTTGTGACCCCACAGAGTGGGGACTCATGCTGGAGTGGCTGAGGATAAACTGCAGCCTTTGGGAAGGACTCTTGCTGGCTCCTGTGGGACTGACGCCACACTGGAACAGGGAAGGAGTGGGAGGATTCTGCCCCCGTGAGGAGGCAGTGGCAGAGACAACTGGTGATGAACTGACCACAACCATTCCACATCCCGCTGTGACATTTTTGGAAAGAAGATTGAGAATTCAGGGGTGAAGTTGAGCCAAGGAAGAAAGGAGGGATGAGGGGAAGGTGTTTTAAAATTTGTATTTATTTCTTACTAATCTGTACTGATGGTTTTTTTGTAATAAATTAAATTAACTTTCCCCAAATCAAGTATGTTTTGCCTGTGATGGTACCTGGCGAGTGATGTCTCCCTGTTGTCATCTTTACCCACAAGATTTCTGTTGTGTTTTCTGTCCCCTTTCCAGCTGTGGAGGGGTGAGAAATAGAGCGGCTTTGGTCAGCACCTGGTGTCCAGCCAGGGACGAGCCACCATAGAAAGCTAAAGAACCTGGAAAAAAACATATAAATGACTGATTTCAGTTCAGCTATAAGGGTCAAAAGACTATAAATAATTACTAGGCCTATAGAGAAGACTGTTTTATGCTCTCCAACACAGTTCAGAGGACTCAGTGCTCTTTCTCTCATTCCCCTGATAAAGCAGTATATGAGTTAATTATTGCTGTAGCTGTTGCAGTTTAAACCAAATGGGGAAAAGAGACAGCATGAAAGTCAAGCTGAAGTAGTGGGAACTGGCAGCTTTTTACTCAATGGCCATCTGCAGCCTTGCAATATTGACCTGATCACTGGAAAGGTCACAACATGCTCTGTGACTGGAATGGCAAGTGCAGAGGAATATGTACTCATCTAACTCCTGTAGAATTAAATATCTAAATATATGTTCCAGTTTTAGAAGTGAACATTGCCTTTATTTAAAGGTAATTAAGGGGTGGAGCTAAGTTCATTTTTTTTCAGTAAAGAACTGGATTCAATAAGCAGCTAGGTTTTCTCTAGCATTTACCATCTCCCTAAAGGGAAAAAATCTGTCCTATAAAAGCATAATTAGGGATATCACCAAGTGAAAAACTTGGAAGCACAAACACAATGAAGTCACATTAAAGAAACAACAAATATGTTTTCATTTGTATAAATATTTATTTTTTACATTGCTTATACAAATAGGTTTTGGCATTTTTAAATTTCAGTAGAAATACACAAGTTTAATTGACAAGCATTTTTCCCCCAAAAAGGGTGCTGTATAAACATGTTCTGATACACAACTCTATTATCTCAAATTCTAAATAACTAATTTTTACCAACAGAAAAAGACAAGTATTTTTCAGATTAATCCTATTTTTTTTTTTTTTTTGAGGGAAGAAAAAATTTATGGCTATCACATTAAATATTTGGATAATTGCACATTATTCATCATGAGGATAGTGAACTATTTCTCAGGAAAAAATAATTGGAGATGAACAGAACTTATATACTTCTAATTGTGACACCTATTGGCCAACAGAAGAAAATATTTAAACATCTCATTTTGCTGATTTCTGAAAAAAAATCTGAAGAATATCCCATAACTGATTTTTTATAACCCTGGGAACTTCTTTCCCGAAGAAGGCTAAAGTAAGTTCAGAGTCCTGTTCTTTGATTTTGGGTTAGGGTTTTTCTATGGTTGGTTGGTTGATTGGTTTGTTTGTTCATTTGCCTATTGCAGGTTTTTTTGTCTGTTTTGCTGGTTGACTACCAGTGGATCTGAGGTTGGGCTGAGAGCACTTTTGGCACTGATGTCCTCTAATATTACAGTGAATTTGTAAGCCTTACCTGAGTAACACAACGGTATAGAAATTTATCTTGGTTGGTTGTTGGCAGTTAGCAAGGAGCAGTGACATGACAGATAAATCTACCTTTATGTGGCTCTGTCAGCTGCTGCTTACCCCTTTCCATGGACAAAATAAATGCGAGTGTAGTAAGCATGTCCCTGTCATTGAGTTGAGTTGTACTATTCATTGCAGCTTCTCTGCCCTGCTCTAAATCAGTAAAGAAGCCAGAAACCACACATCACATTTGAACCACCCTTTGGGCATCTGTCCACCTTAGGATCTATGCTAGCTAGAATTGGAAATTTAACCTTACCTTTTTCTACTTCTGATGAATTTTTGATTTATTCTTGTCATGCAGGAGGTTTAAAACATCTGAAGGTTAGTTTAACATACTCTTAAAAGGAGTGGAGGGCAGGGGGTAGGACAGGGATTTTATTATTTTGTCAAGTAGAGGTTAATGGTATCATGTTCTGCTAATTATTTTTCCCTGGAAATATTATTTTTCCCTGCCATGCTGTTCCCATTTTAGTTCACTTCATTGCATAGGTACCATTGAAACTCCAAATTGATCCAAAACATGGGTGACCCCACACCCTTCTTTGTTCAAGTAGTGGGAATAACACACACCAGAAGAGTTATAGTTCAGCCTGGTATTGAATTCATCAGAAAACTTTGCAAAGAAATCTCTTACTCAGCTTTAATTAGGATTAACCAGTCAGAGGTCATAGTCTGTTCTGGTTAATACCACTTCTACCACCTGAAATATAAATGGATTATAAGATTAATCCTAGTTTCTGAATATGTCAAAAACATATTACACATGTAGATGATGTTATAGTTTAAAAAATTATGAGAGAAAGGCTTCACACACTCTTGTGTTGTTTTTGTTTTTTTTTTTTATTAGAGCTTAGGTACACTTTTTTAAACAATATTTTAAGAAGATTTTGTTTCCTCATATCCTTGATTCACATTATATGTGCAGGATACCTCATACATGTGATTTGGGATTCATCAAAGAATCTCATTATCACTTCCAAATTGTGTTGCTTTCTCAAAAAAAAAAAAAAAGAAAAAGTGAAAAAGAAAAAACATTTTTCCTTCAGTAATATGGA